GCCCAGGAGGGTCTCGAACCCGCGGGCTCAGGCAATCCACTCACCTCAGCCTCCCAAGGAGTGGGATTACAGGCTGAGCCACTGAGCCCAGCTAACATCTTATGTGACTATGATACATTTGTCAAAATTAAACAATGAATGCTGGTATATGAGGGAGGACCCTCCCAAAAAACCAGGAATTATTTTTTGGAGGGCAGGTCCCTTATTATAATACTGACTTCCTCTGCTAGCAAGTGTTCTAGGAACCCATTGGTATCAGCATACCAGCTAGCGTTGTTGTGAGAGGCTGTATTTGGCTTCAGTGAATTTTTTTTTGGGAGATTCTTTCAATGCGTTTGGTCATTTCATGATGGGTGATTTACAAGCACACCTGCTCAAACTACAGTGTTCAGCAGTTTTTGACCAAAAACGGCATGGTCTCCATGTTCAACCCTCTTTATTCACCTAATCTCACCTAAAGCAACTTTGGTTCCCCAGTAAAAAAAAGTTCTCAGAGGGAAATGTTTTGCCGATGTGAAAGAGGTGAAACAAAAAAATGGCAGAAGCACTAAAAGGCATCAAAATTGATGAATTCAAAAACTGCTTTGAGCAGTGGAAAAAGTGTCTTGATAGGTATATTGCATCAAATAGAAAGTAATTTGGAGGTGACTGAAATTTAAACATGTAAGAGTAAATACATATCTTTAATAAATAAATTCCAGGTATTTTTGGTACTCCCTCATATTACTGTTAACTACATTCCTAGCTGTATTCAGATGACACTCGTTTTTCCACTAATGTCCCTTTTCTTTTCCAGGATCCAATCCATGACACCACATTGCATTTAAATAAATTTTTTTTGGCTGGGGGCAGTGGCTCATGCCTGTAATCCCAATACTTTGGGAGGTCGAGACAAAAGGCCTGCCTGAGCCCAGGAGTTTGAGACCAGGCTGGGCGACATGGCAAGACTCTATAAATAAATAAAATAAATTAAAAAATTAGCCAGGCATGGTGGTGCATGCCTACAGTCCCAGCTACTTGGAAGGCTGAGGTGGAAGGATTGCCTGAAACCAGCAGGTCATGGCTGTAGTAGCCATTCTTGTTTCCGTGTACTCCAGCCTGGGTGACAGAATGAGATTCAAACTAAAAAAAAAAAAAAAAGTCCTTCAA